GCGCCTGCTTCGACGCCACATGGGGGGGGGGCTCATACAGCAGGGCAGAGAGTTTCGGAGGGGCCCCGCCGCCTGCCGAGAAGGCCTGCTCCCTCTCTCACTGCCCCTTCTGACGAGAGGCTCTTGGCTCTTCTGCAATGTCTCCGAAGCTCCACAGGGGGGGGGGGGGGGGGGGGGCCTCCTCATACAGAAGGGCGGAGGACTTCGGAAAAGGCCCCGCCGCCTGAGGAGGAGGAGGAGGAGGGAGGAGGAGGAGGAGGAGGAGGATTCGCAAGCATCTGCGCGGGCTGTCGGCCACGCAGGCGCCCGCGCGCGGCCACGCGCGCGGGCGCGGCCTCCTCGGAGGACCGCCACGAGCTCGCCGAAGTGCACCGCGACGAACTCCGCACTCGTCAGGCAGACGAGTCCCCAGGGCAATCAAAGGGTGCCCCCAACTTCTGAGCCAGTCCTTGAGCTCGCCGAGGCCCACCACGACGAACATCAGAGGACCACCTGGTCCCGCACCAGGTCGGCGGCGATGTCGGGCGGCACGCCCGCGGCGTAGGCCTTCTCGAGGAAAGCCCAAACGCCCGCCGCGCCAGGAGGACGAGGGTCCTCCGCCGCCACGCTGTCCAAGCCCACAGTCGCCCCCACGACGTCGGCCCGAAGCAACTTCTTGTGCTGCTTCTTCTTCGCCTTCTTCTTGCACCCAAACGCCTCGACGTCCACGGGCATCTCGTCCAGCACATCCTGCACGAGGCGCTCCGCGGCCGTGCGGGCGTCCAGCGCTGCCTCACGCCTGGCGGCAGCGGCACTGTTGGCCAGGAAGACCATGTCCCAATCGCGCGGGTCCACGAACTGTTCGCACTGCTCGCCCGCCTGCTGCTGCTCCAGCGCGTCGGCCCAGCAGGCAACTCTCGGGCCCAGCACGGCCTGACCAAGAGCGCCCTCCTGGGCAGGAGCATCCTTGAGCTCCAGCTCGCTCTCCACGGCCACCTCCGAGAGCGTCGGGAAGGGCGGGACCTTGCCGAACGCGTCGCCGTCGCACCCCACGATGCTGTCCTTGCCGACCTCGTCGCCGTCGTACGCGTCGCCGTCGCACCCCACGATGCTCTCCATGTTGCCGACCGCGCCGCCGTCGCACCCCACGATGCGCTCCAGCGCGTCCAGCGCCTCGCAGCCGCTGCCGCTGCCGCCGTCGCACCCCACGATGCTGTCTGCTCTGGTGGTGCCGGGTGCCGGGTGCCGGGTGCGCTGGTCCGCCCGTGCTGCACGAGCAGCGCCTCGCAGCCGCTGCCGTCGTCCTTGCCGAACGCGCCGCCGTCGCACCCCACGATGCTGTCGTCTAGCGCCTCGCAGCCGCTGCCATCCTTGCCGAACGCGTCGCCGTCGCACCCCACGATGCTGTCCTTGTCGAACGCGTCGCCGTCGCACCCCATGATGCTCTCCTTCGCGAGCAGCGCCTCGCAGCCGCTGCCGTCCTTGCTGAACACGTCGCGGTCGCACCCCACGATGCTCTCCTTGCCGAAAGCGTCGCCGTCGCACCCCACGATGCTCTCCAGCTCGCCCAGCGCCTCGCAGTCGCTGCCGTCAGCGTCAACGCCGTCGTCCACCTCGTAGCCGCCGCCAACGACCAGCTCGTCGTGCGGCTTGCCGCGAGCGCCTCCCCGCAGCCGCCACGCGAGGGCACGGAGCTCCATGCACTCGTCAGCCAGCGCACCGCACAGCTCCTGCGCCTGCGCGAGCTGCGCCGCGAGGTCGGAGTAGTCCACGCACTCCGTGTCGACCTCGAACTCCGTGGCGATCTCGCACTCGCTGAGGTCTACGCACTCCACCTGCTCCAGCCACTATGGAAGAATAGTGAAGGGAACCGGGAACCGGGAACCGGGACCCCGGGAACCGGGAACCGGGAACCGGGAACCGGGAACCGGGAACCGGGAACCGGGAACCGGGAACCGGGAACCAGGAACTGGGAACCGGGAACCGGCACTATGGAAAAATAGGGGGGAACCGGAAACCCGGGAACCGGGAACCGGGAACCGGGAACCGGGAACCGGGAACCGGGAACCGGGAACCGGGAACCGGGAACCGGGAACCGGGTACCGGGAACCTGGAACCGCGGGAACCGCGGGAACCGGGAACCGGGAACCGGGAACCGGGAACCGGGAACCGGGAACCCGGGCACCGGGAACCGGGAACCGGGAACCTGGAACCGGGAACCGGGAACCGGGAACCGGGAACCGGGAACCAGGAACCCGGGAACCGGGAACCCGGGAACCCGGGCACCGGGAATTGGGAACCCGGGAACCGGGAACCCGGGAACCCGGGAATCCGGAAACCCAGGAATCCGGGAATCCGGGAACCGGGAACCGGGATCCGGGAACCGCTTCTGCTCCGCTCATTTCTGTTTTGTTGTGCCCCGCTGCTCCGTTCGGTTCCGTTCTGTCCCATTGTTCCGTTCTGCTCTTGTCTTGGCTGCAGGTTTGTCTGTTCTGTTCCGGGCCGCGCCATCGTCCGTTTTGATCTGGCGTGCCCCGCTGCTTCGTTCTGTTCTGCTCGTTCTGTTCTGCTCGTTCTGCCCCGATGCTTTGTTCTGGTCTGTCCCGCTGCTCCGTTGTGTTCTGTTATGTTCCTCTGCTCCGTCCTATTCTGGTCTTGGCCGCAGGCTCGTCTATTCTGATTTGGGCCGCAAGCTCGTCTGTTCTGGTTTGTTATGTCCTGGTACTCCGTTCTGTTATGTGTGTGTTTTTACCTAACAGCTCTTGCTGATAGGTTTCTAGTGGTCTCAAAAGAGAGCATCATGACTCCTCAGGGGGGTCTGGGCGGGTGCCGGGGAGGAGAACCGGGAATCGTTTTTCGCCAACAGTCACACACTTCGTGCTCTTCGACCTCCCAGAACTCCATTCCCGGGCCACATTCTGGAGAACCGGGAACAGAGCCGGGCTCGCTTTTCGCCAACAGTCACACACTTCGTGCTCTTCGACTTCGCAGAACTCCATTCCCGGGCGACATTCTGGAGAACCGGGAACAGAGCCGGGCTCGTTTTTCGTCAACAGTCAGACACTTCGTGCTCTTCGACCTCCCAGAACTCCATTCCCGGGCCACATTTTGGATGCCCGGAGCCAACTGTAGGCCACTTCGTGCTCTTCGATTTCCCAGAACTCCATTCCCGGGCCACATTTTGGATGCCCGGAGCCAACTGTAGGCCACTTCGTGCTCTTCTATTTCCCAGAACTCCATTCCCGGGCCACATTTGGATGCCCGGAGCCAACTGTAGGCCACTTCGTGCTCTTCGAGTTCCCAGAACTCCATTCCCGGGCCACATTTTGGATGCCCGGAGCCAACTGTAGGCCACTTCGTGCTCTTCAAGTTCCCAGAACTCCATTCCTGGGCATGATTTTGAATGCCCTGAGCCAACTGTAGGCCACTTCGTGTTCTTCTAGTTCCCAGAACTCCATTCCTGGGCCACATTTTGAATGCTGAGGCAGGCTGATGCTGCGGCCGAGGCAGGCTGAGGCTGAGGCAGGCTTAGGCTGAGGCCGAGGCTGAAGGCAGACTGAGGCTGAGGCTGAAGCAGACTGAGGCTGAGGCTGAGGCAGGCTGAGGCTGAGGCTGAAGCAGGCTGATGCTGAGGCAGGCTGAGGCTGAGGCTGAGGCTGATGCAGGCTGAGGCTGAGGCAGGCTGAGGCTGAGGCCGAGACTGAAGGCAGACTGAGGCTGAGGCTGAAGCAGGCTGAGGCTGAGGCTGAGGCAGGCTGAGGCTGAGGCAGGCTGAGGCTGAGGCTGAGGCAAACTGAGGCTGAGGCTGTGACTGCAACTGCCGTTGCCGCTGCGACTGTCATCGCGAATGCGACTACGACTGCGACAGCAGCAGAATTCCACAACTGGATTTAGGGGGGTCTGGGCGGGTGCCGGGGAGGAGAACCGGGAATCGTTTTTCACCAACAGTCACACACTTCGTGCTCTTCGACCTCCCAGAACTCCATTCCCGGGCCACACTCTGGAGAACCAGGAACAGAGCCGGGCTCGCTTTTCGCCAACAGTCACACACTTCGTGCTCTTCGATTTCCCAGAACTCCATTCCCGGGCCACATTCTGGAGAACCGGGAACAGAGCCGGCCTCGTTTTTCGTCAACAGTCAAACACTTCGTGCTCTTGGACCTCCCAGAATTTCATTCCCGGGCTACATTTTGAGTGCCCGGAGCCAACTGTAGGCCACTTCGTGCTCTTCGAGTTCCCAGAACTCGATTCCCGGGCCACATTTTGGATGCCCGGAGCCAACCGTAGGCCACTTCGTGCTCTTCAACTTCCCAGAACTCCATTCCTGGGCCACATTTTAGATGCCCGGAGCCAACTGTAGGCCACTTCGTGCTCTTCAAGTTCCCAGAACTCCATTCCTGGGAATGATTTTGAATGCCCGGAGCCAACTGTAAGCCACTTCGTGCTCTTCAAGTTCCCAGAACTCATTCCTGGGCCACATTTTGAATGCTCAGGCAGGCTGATGCTGCGGCCGAGGCAGGCTGAGGCTGAGGCAGGCTGAGGCTGAGGCCGAGGCTGAAGGCAGACTGAGGCTGAGGCTGAAGCAGACTGAGGCTGAGGCTGAGGCAGGCTGAGGCTGAGGCTGAGGCAGGCTGATGCTGAGGCAGGCTGAGGCTGAGGCTGAGGCTGATGCAGGCTGAGGCTGAGGCAGGCTGAGGCTGAGGCCGAGGCTGAAGGCAGACTGAGGCTGAGGCTGAAGCAGGCTGAGGCTGAGGCAGAGGCAGGCTGAGGCTGAGGCTGAGGCAGGCTGATGCTGAGGCAGGCTTGAGGCTGGGCGTGACTGCGAACTGCCGTTGCCGCTGCGACTGTCATCGCGAGTGCGACTACGACTGCGAGAACAGCAGAATTCGACAACTGGATTTTCATCTGAATCTTAAGGGGAATGCTTTCAGATATGCTTCTACACATCGCTGTTAGGTTGCTTTGCCGGGATAATTTTTGTTACAAGGGATGGTGGGGGGGGTCGGCATGGACCCTGGTTG